CCGGTCCCCGCGCCGCCGCCCGCGCGCCAAGAGCCGCCCTGGCTCCTCGCGGCGCCCGCCGCGTCTCGCCGGTGCCCAGAGCGTCCCGGGAGGCTCCCGCGTCCCCGCGCGGCGCCGCCGCCCGGCCGCCTCTCCCTGGCCCCGCTCTCGTTACTCGCGTTTCTGCTCTCACGGAGCCCCGGTCGCGGCGCTGCGGGTGCCCCCGTTTTGTGCCGCCCCTCAGAGGCTGCCGAAGCTTTGCTCCCCCCACTTCCCACACGAAGCTTCGCCTTCCTCCTTCCCAARAAAGCTTTGCCTTCCTCCTTCCCAGGAAGCTTCGCCTTTCTCCGTCCCAAGGAAGCTTCACCCTCCTTCCTGCGTGTTCTGCAGCGGTGGCCGCGGGCCTGTGTCGGCGCTTGTACCAAAACGCCACGTGGCTGGTGCTGAAGCAGCGCCTGAGCGTTTTCCGTTGGCACCCGTTAGTCCCAATGGGAACTGGGGACCCAAGCGAGTTACCTCCGTGTTTGGAAACACAGCAACCAACTGACATAAAGCGGGGCTGAGATACGGGTGGCGACCTTCATAAAATCTTGCCCTTTTTAGTGTTTTCAAACAAATCTTTCCCTGTGCACAGGAGTTCCTCCACTCAGGCTTTCCTGCGCCAAGACTCGCGTTTCTGCAAACATTTGAGACCATCTAACACTCAGCTCTGTCCTAGAAGGACGGTCCCTGTCGGGATGGTCCCAGAACAGAGCCCTGGCCAGTTCTGACCCGCAGGGGTGAGTTCAGCCGCTCCCTGCCAGGGAGGGACCTGGTTCCRCGACAGCTCCGCCAGCAGAACCAGCTCAGCCAAGGCTCAGGCTCCTGCGCCGGGGGGATGTCACCTCATCCCCTGTCACGGTGCCATCCACCCTTCCAGGCGCCYGCTTGCCAGGGAATACGGTGATGATGATGATGGGACCGTTGGTGACATAGCACATAAAAGGAGAACCTGCCGCTGGGCAAGGGGCAGTTGTGGAGCCTTGCAAGGGTGTTGTACCCAGTAAGTGCCTGGCTTTCAATTTTAGCATCTTCTGCTGTCACTTTTTTATCATGCCTTTTTTTTTTTCTTTTGCGGCATCATTGAGTGTTTTTATACAATGTCAGTTTGGATGGCAGTTTTTGGTGTTTYTTATCCCATAAAATGTTATGAAATCTTATATTTTATCTATGCAAAATAGTCTTATTAGTGTTTCTTATTTGCATTTCCTTTTTTTGCATTTATTGATACTTATTCATATATTTTTGACTTATGCTTCTTAAAACCATGAGAAAGGAAAATAAGTATCAATCAAGATACTGTTAAGTATCAAGAGAAATATTCTGTTGTACTTTTTGTTCTGCACATAGTAGCTTATACTGGGCAGGAACCTTTTACATTGTTCTTTCAATGTTACAGAGATATCTTCTTTTTATTGTGTATTCCTCTTCAACTGGTTTTCGTGTAACAAACGGGTTGACAAGGGCTGGAAACCTCTTGCTCTTTTTCATATTGCTACTTTATTGGTCAGTCTTAATGGATGCTAAAATGGAAGAGAGTTGAGAATCTCTGTAATGTCCTTCCCTTTCTCCTTCACTAGAGCTTAAGCTGCTTGATGTGAAGTCGTTTGAATTCTTCTAAGTTTTGTACCTACTTCTGACCTCATTTCATCGCTCCTGTAATAACTGAGAATCCACCACAGTTCTGCTTTGCTGCATTCCTGGAGCTCTTCTCTGTATCTTAAGCTGCATTATTGGCATTTTTCTAATACTAAATCACTTTTCCTGTCATTTGTGAGCATTGTGGAAAAACAGCTGAAAATTAATGCTGAACATGCCAGGACCATCAATGTCTACAAAAAGGGTTTAAGATGGAGTGGGCTGGTTTTAATCTCGGGTCACCCATGCTTCTTGTCAAATGAGACTGACAAAAAGCACAAGGAACAAATTAACCCCTTTGCACAGCTCTGTAACTCATCTCTGTCCAGTTGTGTGTATGTTCTCTTCACATAAAGGCGAGATAGTCTGTGGAGTTCCACGGAATTGCTGGAGTTCACAGTTTATTGCTTGCTAATGATTGAAGCAGTGCCAAACACATTATTCTTAACTATCAGCAGTTGAGATGGAGGAAGGAAAAATTATGTTCACTTTTTGGTGAGGGTGAAACATAAGGAGAACGGAATTGCTTGTTTCTAGCAAGAGAGATTTTTATCTTTAGGAAGTGAATTCAATTTCAGGTCTCCTAAAGAAATAAAATTAATCCCATCTGGAGAGGGAAAGTGCTGGGTTGTGTAGGAGACATTACTGCAGGACTGGGGTACTATCCTGAATGGTGGGGTACTTTCAGTTATTTTGTGTTGTCAGCTTCAAAGGAAAAAAGATTTTAAATTCTGTTCTTTATATTCTACTTACCGTGCACCCAGGTCTGTAACCTTCAACTTTAGTTTTTAATCTGAAGTTAAACTTGTGCAGAAACCAGTTGTTCTCAGCTTTTGTTTCCTGGTATTTCATCATTTGCACCGACAAGTAGTAAAACTTCAGCCTAATTCTGCAAATGTTTAAGCTGTTTACATTCAGCTCAGTGTCTCTGTTGCACAGGGACTTTTTTTTTTTCTGGTTTTGACTTGTAATTCAAGAAATTTAGGAGTTAAGTTTCACATTGCTTGAGAGGTTTATGTTTATTTTTGAAGTAATAGAGCTGATACAATTCTGAAGAGAGCAAATACTGTATATTGCTTATCTAGAACAGTACATAAATACGTACTTCATACTGCTCAACTTTTATTTTTTGTGTCCCCTCCTCCCTATTTCTGTGGATATTTGTGAAACTTAACGACTGTGCTCAGCAAAGATACTGAAATATAGTTGTATAGCTGAAATATTCCAAGTAATAGTTGGCATGTTCCTTGCTTCATGGGGGTTATGTGGATCTGTGTGATTTAGGATTTAACTTTGTGTCTGAGTGGTGAACATCAGAGAAAGAGCGTGCCCCATAAAGCATATTAGTCTTTAAATATTCAGATCTGTTACCACTTCCCCAGCATCTGCAATCACAACATACAAGGTACGCTACTTCCTTCCTTCTGGACCAGTGTTTTTACTCAAGAACTGGAGGCCTCAGATTGTGGAGTATCTTTCAAACAAAGAGGGGGGGATATAGTTTTGTTTTTGGGAAATACTGCAGGGAGTGCCATTCCGCTACAGAAACCTGCTTCAGAAACTGGACTGCAAAGTAAAGCTGAAGCCTTCCATGACCAGGTGAATTTTGTGTTTTGAAAACAACTGGGATATTGGCAAAGGTCTGTGCCCTGTCAGCAAAACGAAAACATTTTGTGTGTTAAAGTTCTTGTAATGTTAATTTGCCTCAGAATCGAACCATCTGTTTTGGAACTGTTTGGTTTTTTAYGCTGTGATGCATGCAGGATTCAAAATGTGATAAAGGTCTGGCTTCCTGTACAGCTCCTTTGTACCTTAATTACATATAGACTGAAAAAGATGCAAGATAMGCACAAGAAAGGGAAGAAGAGGAGCACTATTTGCTAGTTAGTACTGAAAACTGTACAGTAATGTGTAACTCAAAGAGGAAAGAATGTGATTGCATGGGGCAACCACAGCTCGGGTACCTGAAGTAGCTGGCTGGGATGTAAAAGCCTTTGCTAAGGCTACCCATAGGATTTCCCAAAACCCCTTGATTTAGCTTCTTGCTGTTGTACGCCGAGGAAGAAGGTAAAATTGCCTTTCAAAATGTTCCACAACTGCCTCTCCTTCCTACATCATCAGAGCCGAAACCTGACTCTTGAGTTGGGTTTTCCCACCAGGCATGGGCCTCACAGCCCTGACTGAAGCAGGATGAGACCTGCTCCCCAAGGGCGCCCCGGGAATCAGCAGCTGGCACCGTGTGCTGGGCCCGGACTAGCATCTCTCCGGGGAGAAGGCAAGAGCTAAATGAGGTAATGAGGAGTTTCTACCGGGTAATCTCCATGGAACCAGGCTTATTAGTATTTCAAGTGGTAAGGTAAGAAAGCCAGCAAACAGGAATAGGGTGAGGATAAGTAACATTTATTGTTTTGGGTTTTTGTGCATGCGCATGAGCAACTGGTAGCAGGCCAGCCTGTAATTCTCAGGTGTCATTCCACTGTTTGAACTGCATTTGATTTTGCTGTGTATTATTAAAGCTTATTCCTCAAGGGCAGTGCTTGTGCTTCATACAGGATTTTATGTCATCTGGTTTAGGGAAGTATTTGACATCACTTGTACCAGCATAGTGGGTGGCAGCTTCTATATGGTGAATAATCAGTGAGGCATGTGAAGTAAATTGCTGCAGGCAACTGGCTAGAACAAAAAAAAAAATGATGCTTATAGTTAAAACTTGGGTAGGAAGTGAGGAATTCTGGAAACTAATTGAGGATTTTTTCTTTTTATTACAAACCCGAAGTGGTAGGGCTCTTCTCTGCTTCACTCCTTCTAAATATTCTTTTTAAAATCTAGTCTGAAATAGTTATCAATATCAATAGTTATCAGAATTTTGTGCTGTGCCTGTTTGCTTTAGATTTCACTTGTTTTCTCTTGTAGAGATATGTTGTTAGCATTGCTGCTTCCCTATTCCTTTTAAATGCTGAAATGGCATATCTTCAACTTTTAGTATTTTATATCGGTATTTTAGTAGAGAAGAGCTTTATATACCTTCCTTTAAACCTTTATCTCCGCATTTGACACTTGGGCAGCATCCTAAGCACTCCCCAGAGAGCTGCRTAGCTTGTCCAGCTGTCCAAGCTGAGCACACGAGCTGCTTGTCTGCACCTGTGAGCTGGAGGGACGTGAGTCTTCAAGCAGCTCCTGCTGCCAGGAGCCTCTTTCTTGATTATCTCAGGTCTATGGCCTGGGGCTGAAGTGCTGGAGGAGCCAGCCYGTGGAGATTGACATGTTACTGCATTCGACTCGATGTACTCAATGTACAACTAGAAAACAATATAGAGCAACYAGAAAGATGGTGTTTTCTGTGCGCTCTAAATATGCACAGGTTTACAGGGTCAGCTTATTGAGGACCTGTTGTTTGTGCTCCATGGGAATCGTTATTATCAAGTTTTTCAAGAGATTAAACTCTGTATGTCTTCTATTATTCTGTATCTTCAAGTTTAGCATAGTTATAGAASTTTCTTTGAAGCATGTACTGCCTGTCTGCAGATCTTGGTGGCCTCATGGCTGTTGCACTCCACGAAAACCTGGCAGAGCTGCCTATCTTTGGCTGATACTCACTGGCTTTCTGTTGATGTGAATTTGTCCTTTTTGGAGCTGTTCAAAACTGTTTCAATATTATCTTACCATCTTGAGAGAGAACAAGTCCTCAGCATAATATTTTGCAGTTAACCTTTTTATCTGGTTAAATTACGCCTTATTGTTTTGTTTTATTTGATGTGAGCTGAGAGTTCTTATCCACTTTGGGAGATTCTTGTAGTAATTTACTGTAATGCAGAGTTTGCTTAATTATTGTGCAGTTTCTTTTGAGGAAATCAGTAGTAACTCATAATCAAAAACACCCAGGAGTTAAGCTGTCTCTATGAACTAGAAAAATCAGGGACTATGCTAATGTTGTATAGGGTTTTTTGTGTGTGTATTTTTGCTTTTAGACCAATGCGTGACAATTAATCTCTGAGTAATTTGCTCTGTTCAAGTACAACCTCGCTATGAAGATATATTTCCTATAGGATTGTGCTTTGGCCTTCAAAGTTTAAATACTTTAGAACTAGCTATACAAGTTTGAAAGAAAGAAAGTTTTTGTAGTGACAATTTCAAATATTGGAAGCTATGAGAATATGGAAATGGGTTGACAAACATTGAGACAAGTTTCCTTCCACTTTTCTCTAGAAAGATTTTTTTTTTTTTATGGTTCTGTCTCCATTCATAACTTCATAGAAAACTCTTTTATAGTTTACTCCTTTTCTTTTGCATATATTGAAAGCCAATTGCTACATCAGTAAGGTAGAAATTTCAAATTCAGTGCTAAGCACTTAGCTGTAACATTGCCATATTTAGCTTTGAATGTTACCAACTTCTTATTATGACTTCTGTTGTTTTGTAGTCATCTAACATGTTTTTTCTTCGTTTTAGATAGCAACTTTAAAGAAGAGGCTATGTTCAGCTTCTTCCGAAAAACCCAAGATTCAAAGAAGGTTGTGGTGCCAGAGAGAGAAGCAGATGGATTTGTTATCGTGGGTAAGTGATGCAGCTGTATGAAATGGGTCTTGTCATCTCTGTAAAGAGACCTTCTTTGAGGTGTTTAGACAAAATGAAAAGCGGTAACAGAAGCTATGATAACTATTCAGAATTTTATTATTCAGTTTACTATTCAGTTTTATTCCCAAGTGAGGGCGTAACACTAAGCAGCTTTGTACTAAATGCCTATGTTTTTTTTTTTGTTGTTGTTGTTGTTTTTTCCCTTCCTAATATTGCATTTTCTGAATAGGGAAACACTCTTATTCAAGATGGTTGAAGGTGTTTCTTGTTTTCTTCTCATATTGTGAGCAAGGAAAGGTCACAGAAAAAGTAAGCTCAGAGTTGAGAGAAAAGAATATCTCTGTGCATCTGCTGGAGGACTATATTTTTTCAGGTTCCCTCATTCTATTATGCCCATCCAAAGTCTTTTTATGTTGGAAGTCACAAAGCATCTCCGTATAATGATTCATAGAGTGAATGTAGATGTGCTAACTCAGAATTTGACTTGCTTAATTTTCATCAAATTATTCAGTTTAGATGTTTTAAGGTCTTTTTGTTATACAAAAAAGGAACTGTAGTGTCCATAGCCTGTGAACTGGGTAAATTTTAGGGTTTAAGCAAACTCTTACAGTCTTGCAAGAAGTATCAAGCATGTAGAAGACAAAAGAATTTATTGCTGTTGTGCTGTAACTGATCCTTTTCTTTTCCCCTCTTGAAAATTCATGTTTTCCTCCTTGTAAACCTGTCATCATCAATATTCAGCCTCTGCTGCTCTGATTTACTGACTTTTTCTTACCAAGAATCTTACTGTGCTGCTCAGTTTAAGCATTGCTTCTTCTTGGGACTTTTCAACATTTAAGTCATGATTCTCAAAATCCAATAAAGCTTTATTAGGAGCACATAAATTCATTGTAATTTTTCTCCATTAAAGAAACATCCCAGACCACCTACCAGTTATTAAAGCAGGACTTTTGCCACATCTGTGGCTCTGTGATGCCATGTTTAACAGTTGACATCCACCATATTTTATTCCTCTGTAATTTTTCTTCTCACCCCTATTTTAACAGCTACATCAAATCACTGCAGCACTTGCATTGTAGAAAAGATGAAGGACACACACCCTGCTCCCTAAGTCCCACTTTTCCCTACCGTGCTTCGTACATCCTTGAAGGCCGTACAGAACTAGTAAACAAAATTTACACTACCAACTATTTGTAGTGCTTCTTTCTATTGGAGTAGACATTATTTTTGCTCATTATGTTTCCTCTCAAAAGAACACAAATAGTCATAGACATAGAAATAAAATATTTAGAAATCTTCTCCCGGTCACGAGAAGAACTTGCAGTAGTTAAGGAGGTGCTGGCTCTGTGGAATTAACCTAAGTATACCTTCTATTTGGTGCTGCTGTCTCAAGAAAAGGAGTTTTACAAAACAAGTGTGATGAGACTTGGACTAATATATAAAACTTCTCAAAAAAGAATAGGGCAACAGACATTTTTCATTCAGTGAGATGAAATACAGCATAAAACAAACCTTTACTTTTACCTAAGAAAGTAGAAGAGAATTGGTATTCGATGAAAGGTGGAAAATTCATTTCTTTTTTTAATTGAGATGAGTGATATTGCATTGCTACTGCATGTTGACAACGTCAGCGCCACGACAGAATTACACAACTAGTTTGCTAAATTTTGATGATAGCAGATACTCTTGTTCTGTCTGAAGTGTGGTGGGCAGGTGTGACCTATTTTAAGGTAATCTCTGCAAGGCACTCAAACCTTGGATTTATCTACAGTGAGGTTTGTGAACATTCCTCTGATATATTCAGTATTGTGTTACTAGTTAATTCACCATTATAATTCCCTCATCCTTATTTGAAAGCAGGAGCACCCTCATCTTTGGGGCTGAGAAAAGTAGGCTTTGCAGCCAAATGAATGTTTCRTTTTGTTAACCAGTTACTGCAGTTATATTCCAAAATTACATCCTCAACAAATTAGGAAGTCATCTGTACTAAAGAGGTAAAGAAGCAAAACGATCAACAAAAGTCAGTCTTCAGTCCTGGAAATCGCCACTCTTTTTCTGAAAAGCAATATCATCCATATTTTTCCCCTCCTTCCCATCATTTCCATGATTTTTTTTCCTAAATACAGTGTCTTTTTTTTTCTTTCCTTACAAAAAAAAATTGTAAACTCTTAGTGTTGCTGCAGCTCTTTGTTTTTTAGCAGCTATTGGTAATGTGTAGTAGAATTCGGTGAAACTCTACAGTTTTTCTTTAATATTTAAGAAGTTTTAGTGATGCTAATGTGAAAGGCTGCAGTTTTTAAGTACACTGTTATATTAAAAAAATGCACAGGGCTTTGTGCCAGCTGGAAAAAAGATAGAAGTGTCTCAATGTCCCTCCACTTTCTGCCTCTCTGGGCTTATTTTACATATGTTTTTAATGTAGCAGTAAGTGTTTGTGTGTTCTTTTTCCAAAAAACAAACTACTATTCATTTTCTTGTTTAAGTTTAAAAATATTTAATGCTGACTTCACAATAATCTGAGGTTTGGGAGGAAAAATTAATACAGTTTATCTAAGAATGCTTTAAATGTCAACTTATGCCAGTGTAGGTGAACACTTGATGCTCACACCAAAAAGTTGCTGTATTAAATAAATAACCTCTTTCTTGAAGTGCTGCTGTGTTTTTTTTGTTGTTGTTGGTTTTTTTTTTTTTTTTTAATTTAAATAGAGCTAATAGCACATTTGGGCATTAAATATTATGGTCAGAGTTGATTACACAGGAAAGAGGAAGAAATCAGAAGGCAGTCCTGTGCAACACTGCTTTTTTCTTTTTAAGTTGCTAGGAGGTAATGGCCACCCTTCATTCACTAAGGAAGTCGAAGTAATCCTCCTGGGTGCAGGTTTTGCACAAAAACAAATGCATTTTTCAATAGGGCCACTAGATGGTGATTTCTCGTGTGTTCTCTAGCTGCTTTTTCTCCATCTCTTTCTCTTATACCCACACATGCAAACACACACACACACACACACACACACAGAATCCCCCGCACAGTCGGGTAGGAGTAATTATCAGTGCTCCGTTTCATTAGACTGTAGGTTTTCAACAGATTTCTAAAAAGCATTTTACAGCCTAAATATCAAATCTATAATGGCATTCCAAACTAATAAAAATAATGAAGCTTGAAATGTTGACAGCATGTATCTAGATGTTGGCTTGTAATTCCTTCCAAACAGAGCTGTTGAGGCCCATGTGGGACCTCAATAACACAAAGAAGTAAATTTGCATATTTTACAGCAGGGGGAAAAAACAGAATGCAAAAACATGAATAATTAGGAGCACAAGCTTCATGCTATATTAATACTGTTGAAAAGCATGTGTTGATTGTATTCTGAAAGCCAGTAGTGATTTGGTTGAGTGAACTCAGTCAGCATCTCTTATGCAGATTAAAGGAACTGGGTTACAGAACAACTGAACTTCATTGTTTTCCTGCATAAGTAGGTATATTTCTTAAAGGATTTTTCTCCCCTAAGTTCTGCACAACACAAGAAGTCTCTTTTTAATGCCTTATCAAAGCGTATTTTTTGTTGACAAAGGCTCCCTCGGTCAATTACTTGTATATTTCCTGATTTTTATAAATAGTTAACCTGCCACAAATCAGCTTTCAGAATTTTTAGCACTTTCGTATAAATGGTCTACTTACTTTTCTTTACCTTTTTTATCTTTTTTTTTCTTTTTCTTTTTTTTTTTTTTTTTTGCTTTCTGAGGTTTTACTCCATGAAACACATTCCTGATGCTTCCATGCTCTGCATTTGTTTATTTTTAAATTTTCAAAAATGCCCATCCTGGAATGCTACTTTCTGAACCTGAATCATGTGAATCATTGTATTGGCTCATATTGATTGCAACATACAATGTATGATGCATTTTTTAATGATAAAAAAATGAATTTATGTTGCTGGCTAAGCTTTGGCCTTTGCTTCAGAGCTATTTCAGAAAGCTTCTGGGTTTTGAACACTGACTTTAGGTGGAGAAAGAAAAGAGGCTGAGGATTTCTTCTTTAAATTGTACAGCATTTATATTTCTCTGTAAGAAAAAAAAAGTTCATATATGTGCTGGTGTTTAGAGTTTATTTTAAGGTTTTAAGATGGGAGAAAATACATTCTGTATGCAAAAACAGTTCTTTTCAACCTGTCTTTTAAGCACAAATTCTTAAGTTACATAAGCAAAGGAGCAAAATGGTAAAACACACCAGTCGTTTTAGAGATTAATGTAATTTTAAGAAGTTAAATGGGCATCTGGCAAAAGGTTGTTTTGAGGTCACACATGCATCTGACAGTTTGCTGCCAGCCCTCTAAGAAAATGTTGGTTGGAGCTGTGTACATGTTTTTCACTTTAACTTCTGACTTAGRTCATTGTAGTCACTGTCCACATCTCCAAAATGAGAAGTTCCGACCTGCTGGTTTAAAAACTCCTGCAAATAGAGTGGTGGAAATAGGGTAGTTTGAATTAAGAGAATTCCCCCTCATCCTTTTTTTTTCCTCCAAAAACCTTATCCTCAGGAAAAGCGAGGGCCTTCCTTTGACATGATGACAGTTCTGCAGCAGTGCATTTATGTGGCTGTTACCTTATTGTTCAGCCTTTGCTTATAGCATTGAGGTCACTTTACTCCCGGGCATCCCTGAGTGCTCCCCTTTACTCACTGCTCCCTGAGTCTCTACTCATGCCTTAGGCTGCACAATCATTCTTAAAGCAATTTGCAATTGGGTTTATATATTTTAAAAAAAAAAAAAGTGGAGGAGGGGAAATCCTTTTTGCTTMTTGGGAAAAGGAGTAAGAATAGCAAAACATAGTGGAAAAGTAGGGATTTTGAAATGTTGCTTGTAAACTTCTTTTTTTCTGGAATACATTGGTCATTAARTCTTTCAGAGTGAAAAGTCTCTTTTGCTTTTTGCTTCTGCTTTGTGATGCGGAGAAAATTATTCAAAGTATATTTTAGTCCA